CTAAACGGGTCACCTGGTCATGGAAGGAGATCAGCTTAGTCAAGCAGGACCTGCCTTTCATAAACCCATGCTGACTGGGCCTGATCACCTGGTTGCGCTGTGTGTCACGTGATGGCACTCAAGATGATCTGTTCCATTATCTTCCCCGGCACTGAGGTCATATTGAGAGGCCTGTAGTTCCCAGGGTCCTCCTTCCAGCCCTTCTTGCAGATGGGCGTCACATTAGCTAACGTCTAGTCAACCGGGACCTCCCTAGTTAGCCAGGACTGGTGACAGATGATAGAAAGTGGCTTGGCAAGCACATCTGCCAGCTCCTTCAGCACCCTTGGGTGGATCCCATCCGGCCCCATAGACTTGTCTGTGTCTATGTGGTGTAGCAGGTCACTGACCATATCTCCTTGGATTCTGCGGGTTTCCTTCTGCTCCCCATCCCTGTCTTCCTGCTCAGGGGGCTAGGCGTCCAGAGAACAACTTCCCTTACTGTTAAAGACTGAAGCAAAGAGGCATTAAGTACCTCGTCCTTTTCCTCATCCTTTGTCACTAAGTTTACCCCCTGCATCTAATAGAGGATGGAGTGTCTCCTTTTCCCTCCTTTTGCTGCTAATGTATTTATAAAACCATTTTTTTATTGTCTTTTATGGCAATAGCCAGACTAAGTTCTAGCTGGGCTTTGGCTCTTCTAACTTTCTCCCTGCATAACCTCATGATATCCTTGTAGTCCTCCTGAGTGGCCTGCCCCTTATTCCAAAGGATGTAAACTCTCCTTTTTTTCCTGAGTTCCAGCCAAAGCTCTCTGTTCAGCCAGGCTGGTCTTCTTCCCGACGGTTCATCTTTTGGCACATGGGGATGTCCAGCTCCTGTGCCTTTAAAGACTTCCTCCTGTCCAGCCTTCCTGGACTCCTTTGACCTTCAGGACTGCCTCCCAAGGGACTCTGTCAACCAGACTCCTAAACAGGTCAAAGTCTGCCCCCAGAAAGTCCAAGGTGGAGGTTCTGCTAACCCCCCTCCTTACTTCTCTGAGAATCAGAAACTCTTATCACTTCGTGATCGCTGTGCCCTAGATGGCCTCCAACCATTACACCACCCACAGGCCCTTCCCTGTTCACAAACAACAGGTGCCGTGGGGTGCCTCCCCTAGTTGGCTCACTCACCAGCTCTGTCAGGAAGTTCTCTTCCATATGCTCCAGGAACCTCCTGGACTGTTTTCTATCTGCTGTACTGTATTTCCAGCAGACATCTGGTAAGTTGCAGTCCTCCATGAGAACAAGCGCCAGCAATCGTGAGACTTCCCCCAGCTGCTTGTAGAATATTTCACCTGCCTCTTCATCCTGGTTGGGTGGTCTATAACAGACTCCCACCATAATATCTGCCTTGTTGGCCTTCCCCCTGATTCTTAGCCATGAACACTCAATACTCTAGACAATCAAAACACTCCCTAACATACAAGGCCACCTCACCACCTCTCCTTCCTTGCCTACCCCTTGTGAAGAGATTATAGCCATCCATTGCAGCACTCCAGTTGTGCGAGTCATCCCAGCATGTTTCCATGATGGCCACTATATCAGTTTTCCTGCTGCATGATGGCTTCCAGCTCCTCTTGTTTGTTGCCCATGCTGTGTGCATTGGTATAGATGCACTTCAGCTGGGCTACTGATCCCGCCCCCTTTCTGGGGGGAGAATCCTCAGCTCCTGTGTGACAATTCTCAGGTGCTTTTCTCCTCCAGCAGGAAGCAGAATGAGGTTAGAAGCAAGAGGACAGGACTGCCTAGACTTAGTACTGGCAGGGTCACAGAGGACACTGAAAGCTGTAGAAGGGCTTAGAGAGCACCCATGACGGGTAGCAAGCACAGGACCCAGGAAGATACTCTCCTTCCCGAGAAGTGCAAAGCTTCTTTACAGAAGATCAGCACAATATACATTCTGAGAAGTGTCATTAAAATGCAAATTACATACCTCATGGTGTATTAGCGGTATTGCTAATAAACTTTCCTTACCTTGCAAGAGCGAGAAGTACAAGTCAGTTGCATTCTTCATCATTTCTGGATTACAACTCGAGTCTGTAAACAGCTCCAACAGTCGCGTTCGAGATAACCTCAAATCACTGTATGGGGGGGGGGAAGAAAAAATAAACCTAAGACATTCTACTCAAAATACGTACCGTTAAGAAAGTACCCACCCACGCACACCACCACACTATTGGCTAAGAAAGCGAAGCTAAGCATTCGATTTAGCTATCTGAAGGCAAGGAAAGGTACTTTATGAAGAAGATGCCAACACATACAGAAAAATCTTCCTTTCTCCTCTGGATACATATAATTGACTCTTTAAAGTACAACCCAGTTTGGACAAACAGGAGTGGATAATCAGTACTCATTATCAATCTAATGTTCTAACACAAGCTAAAGTAACTATGCCTTGATCTACCAAGAGGTTGCGTGCAGGGGGAGGAAAGAGAAGTAACAAACAGGAACATTCTTCAACCTTAGAGCAGGATGAGCATATGAAGAGATAAGAACAGATCTGCAAAATAAGCCGAGACCTCCTTTCATTATATTCCTATCCACAACAGAGCATTCATGCCTTATTCACTTATGGAAATTACTTTAAGTAATCTTTTGCAGAAGAATGCACAGTCATCAGAAAGACAATGAAACGTTTGGCCTTTTCCCTCCGCGTTGTTATAACAGGCCTTGCTATACACTCAGAGACTTGAAAACCAGACAATTCGTTCTTTGTTACTAAACGTTCAGTGTCATCACTGTCTTATTGTCTCCCAGCCTACATGTTTCTAGTCATCTTCAAACAAGAATTGAAGAGTAACCATGACTTTTAAGGATGCCCTCCAAACTGTGAGAGACAGGGTGAATTCAATCACAAGTACACTTACTTGCAAACCTTTGTTGCAGCTGGAGTGGTCGCTACCCCATAAAAATTGAATGAAACGGGAGCTGTAGCCTTCAAAGGGTTGCGATGAAACCAGTGCGTCATTTTCTTTCTGTAGTGTTGTTTACGCCAAATCTAAGGTGTGGAAAGAAACGAATAGCTGAAAGAACAGGTCCAGCTGAGGTGCTATACATCATGCTTCTCAGCTCACAAAAATATACTCTAAATGTAAACAATTAGGAAAGAAATTCATTTGCAAACTTGTACATATAATCACAGAGAAGAAATTTTTTATTCCCATTTGAAACACTAAGTTTTCATAGGCCTTGTCTTCATCACCCATGTGCTTAGTTTGAGAATTTCACTCTGGTGAAACACACGTTTTCTGAGGCAACTATTTTAAGTTGGGCAAAAAAGCTATAACCTTTTCTGTTCTATATTAGTGTACAGTTTCTTGTTCGAAAAAAACACAATTGTTACCTCCTGCGCAAGACTGAATATTTCCCATGGGGTTTACAGGTATATCTCAATTCACTGAGATCATTAAACTGTATCTGATAAATCTATTATCATAGAATCATAGGTTGGAAAACACCTCTAAGACCACGAAGTCCCACCACCCACCCAACATCACCATGCCTACACTAAACCATGTCCTGAAGTGCCACATCTACACGTTTTTTGAACACCTCCAGGGATG